TGGTTGTAGTAGTCCGTAAACCATGTTTATCTGGAACGTTTCGTTCGGTCGTTCTGCTTCCGGGATCTTCGCGATGAGGGCCCTCTTCTCGGAGATGAACCGCTCCGTCGGCGCCTTCTCCCCCTGGTCGGAACCAAAGATTTTCTTTAAGATTTGATGGGTTGGCAGGTCTGGCCCAAAGTTTTCCTTCAGGAGCGTCGTCGCCTCGTCGAACGTCTGCACGGTGCCTTTGACGCCCTGCCACCACGTGCCTGCTGGTCCTTCCAACAGTACGGTGAGGCCTCGGAGCGCGTTCTCTTCACTCACCCTGTCGCAGTCCTTAAAGGTGCGGATGGTGTCCACGAAGGAATGGACGTCCTCGCCGCTGTTTCCTTTGAATCGGGCTTGACATTTGGTGAATGATCCTTTATCTCCGCTGCGTAGTTGGGAGATGATTTGCTGGAACTGCTCCATTGAGAAGGTGAGGGGTGCGTTCCCTTCTGCCATCTCCTGTCGGGTTTTTGCACGTGTCTTCGTCGTTGTAAAAAAAATTTCTTCGGCCCGAAGGTTGGGCGCCACTTGTTGGATGAGTTAACCTGGGTTGATTAAATTAACTGATCACTACACAAGACTTTTATTTACAGGGGTTTAGGTACGAAGATAAATATCTACAAGATGACTACGATAGGTATGTGCTAGATTTGGTTTAAAATTCTATAGGTTGAAGTACTTGTCCTTCACCGTGTTGCAATCCGACGTTCTGTCAAGACAGGCTCGCTTAGTTAGCGCGTCGGACGGTTTCAGGATCAGTAACAGCAGCGCGTCACAATATACACCGCGGCGTAAGAGAGGGACGGTTGCTACCTGACTCTTGCCCTTGCTTGGTTTGGTGTGCGAGGTATACTGGTGTCGTTCTTGTACGAGAGGGTAGCACTTCCGTTGGCGACCTCTTGCGGGTGGCGATTGGGTCAACCTTAAGTCGCGGGTGCGTGTAGGTGTTGTTTGCGTGGGTGTTGGGTAGGTGGCGCAGAGGGTTTTGTTACATGGTGCCATTAATTCCTTGTTAATTAAAAGCTTTTTAGGCACACTGATATGTAATACAGAAGAAAACCAAAAATCAGAAAATGATAGACACACTATTTGGAGGCAAGTTTTTTTTTCGAAATAACGGGATTCAAAGTTGCAACTTAGAATTTAAAAGAACTAGCGCGACTCCGCAGGCTACGCCTGCTCGTCTTGCCAAGTTGTCTTCTAATTACATAGATAACTGGTTATACATTTTAGCACTCACAATATTCGACGGTGAAGGTTGTATCAACATGGAATTATATGCACAGTACTCATGTAAAGTAAAAATTGCTTGTGGCA